ATCGAATTAAATTTCGACAAAGAGTGATGTTAGTCAAAGAGCACATAAATCGCCGACTTTTCCAGTTTCAAATGATGTGCCGGCGATAGCTCCATCTACAATCTGTCGAATGTACTACTTAGAAATCATTGAATTTATGCCACATAAAATTCCACGGGTGGTGCATGGCATCGTGCCTTAGGCAAATTGCTGGAACTCCCGTATCGTAATTAAACATTCAAGTAATGACTAATCAATAATTGTTTTAAATAATTTCAAATTTATTTTTTGGTAATTTTCAATTCAAAATTTTCGAACATTTAAAAAATTTTCAAAATTTTGAAAGAAGCGATTATATTTAGAGTTTTCTTTTGCTATTTAACTTTTTTTGAAAATTCGAACTTTTTTCAAAGCAATCAAGCTGCGTCGCTGTTTTAGAGGCGACATATCGAAGCGCGTCGTAGTCGAACGCATTAATTAACTTCCCGTAGGGCAAGTTATAGTAATCGCAAAAAAATCGAAAATGAAAATTTTTATATATCTTTACGTTTCAGAGGTTTCTGAACATTTGGCATACCTTAGAAAAAATGGATGTATGTGTGGTGTGGGTGTGTGTGTGTGTGTATGTGTGTGGTGTATGTAGTTTGTATGTATGTGTGTGTATGTATGTGCGGATACAAATTTTCGTCGACGATTTCGGGAACACGATCATCCGATTTGAATAATTCAAAAACATTCGATCCGTATTGATAAGGAGACGTGCTGATTAGTTTTTGGCAAAGGCAGGTCAAGCCGTTCCGAAGATACGGGCAAAAGTTCCGAAAACGGTAACTCAGTTTTTAAGAGAACGGAGCGTCCGATTTTAATAATTCCAAAAACATTTATTTGTATTGACAAGATGGAGAATCGTACAACTTTCATGAAGGTAGGTCCAGCGGTTTCGGAGATATAGAGGAAAAAGTAAAAAATGAGCCATTTGGCGGTCAAAAATGATCATTAGACATATGCACATCAAATTATCAGACATTTTATAGAGATTTTAACAATAAGTATACATTTTGTTAACATTCCTATCGGTTCCGTACCAATGCTTATGCGTAAGACAGCGACGCGGCGCTTACGCGCTTTATATTTTGTCCCTATGTAGTTAAAGCAGTACGATTGCTTTGAAAAAAAGTTCAGATCTTTCACAATATGTCAAAATAAAGAAAAAAAAAATTTTTTTTCAAAAAAAACACAAATTTTTTTAAAAAAAAAAATTTTTAAAAAAAAAATTTTTTTTTTCAAAATAAAACTAATTTTTGGTCCTTTATAGTTTCTCAAAAATCTTTTTTTCAAAGTAATTTTTTTTCAAATGTTAATCGTTTTAAAAAAAAATAAACAATTTTTGGTACGGGAAGTTCCAGCAATTTGCCTTAAGGCACGATGCCCTAATTGCCTTAAGACAGAATTCCACTTACAGCTAGTTATTAATTGGTTACCACAACTAACTAGTGGTGCATGGGTGATGGCATCGTGCCTTAAGGCAAATTGCTGAAACCTCCTGTACCATAATGAAATAGTCGAAACGTATTAAATATTTTCAAATGGATCATTATAAATACTATAACTTTCATTATTCGTATTTTACAGACAAAATATAAGAGCTTATACATAAAAACGAAAAGTAAAAACAAAAAGTAAAACAAATGGAGTTAGAATTGAAGGACTAAAAATGATATATACTGAATTGTAAAGTTTAAATTATTTATTTCGAATATATAAGTGAGTTTTAGAATTTTAGCTAGAATTATAATTAAAATCCGATATTTGTTTTTTTTTAAATTACAGTTTTTTTTGCTTTTCCAAATAATTGAAAATAAATGTCTTTATACTCACAATACAAGCAAAATGTTTTTTGTATCATTCTAATCGGATGCTGCGTTTTTTTCAAAAACTGAAATTTTAGCACCTTTGCTCCGCATCTCCTAAACGACTGGACCTGCTTTCGCCAAAAACTAACCAGCACATCTCCCCGTCAATGTAAATCGAATGTTTTTTTAATTATTTAAATCGGTTGATCCGCTTTCTTAAAACTGACATTTTTAGCACTTTTTGCTCCATATCTCCGAAGCTGCTGAACCTGACGTCAAAAACTAATTAGCACGTCTTCTCATCAATAGGAATCGAATGTTTTTTTGAACCATTCAAATCGGTTAATCCGTGCACCCGAAATCGTCGACGATAAATTGTCTCCATGCATACACAAGGGCCGGTCCTGTCTTGCATGCGATGCATGCAAAAAATGCGGGCGCACGTCTTAGGGGGCGCCAAAACGTGTTTCGGAAATTTAATTTATAATATATTATTTATATAAAATTTAGAACACTTAATAAATTATGATAAACAATCTAAGTTAACTAGGGATACGCAGACACAAAAAATTAACCGATTAATAACTCTGCAAATTAGTAAATAACAGCTCTGTATATTGATTATTCTACTTATTCTATTTTTTCTTTATTTGAAATTATCTAGTATTAATATATATAAAATAAATATTAAATAATTAATAAATATATAATATAAATATTAAATTATTTATTGGACATTATTGACGAAAAATTGCAAGCTGATTTAGTTGAAACAGAACTTGTTAAAAACTATAAACAAATTATAATAAGTAAAATGAAAAATGGGGAGTCAGTGCTTAGAAAATGGCATGTTTATTCCAAGAAATTGAACTGTAACTTTTGTTTTTGTTCCAAATGTTTCGCATCTGATGAACTGAATTGAATGTTGAAGATATGCGTGGTTAGGGTTATGGAAATGGAACAAATATGAAAAATGGAAGCAAAATTTGCTTTGCTTCATACTCCATATTTAATTTAACTATGCGAAATAATACATATCAAATATTATTAGTTACTTTTTCAATATAGTTCAAGAAATGTGAAATTTCTTTGCATTTTTTACTGATTTTTGGACAATACTTTAAAAATACGTTAAAAATTTGACTTTAAAACAACAGACTGATACTCTGAATATGACGGGAGAGCAAGGATGAATACAATTCGGCTCTTACGATATCAATGAGGAGAAGTTTACGAAGCAATTTTGAATATTGTAAATAATGAAAAATTAAATTAAATTGAAATTTAAAAAATCCAACATGAAATACGAGTGTTATGAGTTCTAGTTTTTTTAGCCCCTCTTAGCATAATTTGCTCAATAGAATAAATGGCATAATAACTAAATAAAATGTTTTAAAACCTAAATATTACGTTAAAAATTATAATCAACCCGCGAATTGCTTCGATTTTCTAAATAAATTTAAAATCAATGTATTTTATACGCTTTTATATTATACCTAATTTTTTGCGTACTAAATCCAGAATAATTAAAAATTAATTTTTAAAAAATATGTGAGTATTTATATAATTTAAATTATAAAGTGTTAAAACATGTAAAATTAATGAGGGGGGAGGGCGCCAAAAAAAAGTTGCATGCGGGCGCTAAGGACCCCAAGACCGGCCATACATACACACACAGATTTTAGAATTCAACTACTGTTTTTAGGACTTTAACATTCGTTTCGTTTATACAAACAGTTTCATTAAAATACAAAAAAACATTTTTTTTTTTAACATACTATTATTACAAAGAAGTGGCACGGCCGTTCTATGGCAAAATCTAATTAACACAATCCATAGGTGATATATTTTGAACAGTTTTCAAATTTTCAAAATAGTTTCGGAATTTTTTGGGAAAACGCAGACGAAACAAATTTGCACTTATTTCCTAATTCTGGGCCAAGTGGTGTGATCATCGATGTGACTAGCACCAACTATTCTCCGGTTTGCTGGTTCGACTCCGGCACGACCAAAGCCCGGCATCAGGCGGCTTTGATGTCCAATTTTCACTTGAGGTTGTAGATTTCAATATAATTGGAAATAACTGCAACGCAACACATAGGAGAATGGTAAACCGATGGGTTGCTTTTCATGAATCATTAGGTTACTGATCTGAGCCGGTCCTTATAGAGTATCATCGAATGTCTCCTGTTCTGGATTTGTGTAACTGTTTTTGAGAAAACTTTGACAATAGACCAAATTTTAGCTCGCATTCAAACACAACCATGATTTTTCACTATTTTGGTCTCAAACGGCGCAGAATGACTTGAAACGTTGAGAAAGCATAAAATTAACGGGTCAGATTTTCTAAGAAATTATCAAAGTGACAACAATGTTACATTAAATGATGATGCAAAAGTATAACTAAATTCTAGAATGAATTGACATGTCTGTACATATATTTAAAAAGTTTTTTTTTGTTATTAATACTAAATCTCAAATGTGATTACATTGTTAAATGTTTTAAATATTTAAACAAAATATCTACCAAAATCAGAATATTAACAATGGACAACAATATTTGATTTAAATTAAGAAACTATAAATAAACTAAACGTAAAAACTGACCTATAGTTTATGAACCAAACTGAGCAAAGGAGTAAATATTTGATGAATAAAGCAATTTTTTTTATTAACTTTCTAAATAGCAATCAGAACGAGTTACAATTTTATAAGCTATTGTGATGTATGTAACTCAAATACAGTATTTGAGTAATAAAGCCATTGAAAATACATTTATTCGGCCCAGTCATAATCTTGACAGATCAGCCACGAATTATTTTTAAATGATTTAGTTTACTATATGTGACCACCCAAATGTATTTAGTAGTACAAGAAATGAACTAATTAACGATAACATTTATTGATATATTTACAATTTAATTATGAATATTTATTTTATTATGATTATATTAATAAATCAATACATTTTTTTTAATTTTCAACCACTATTACAATATCGAGACTAATAATGAGTTTAAAACTCACCTTAAGTTAATTAAGTTAAAATTACTAAAAATCGACATTTAATAACTAAAATTAATTGTAAATAAATTAACCATATTATCAAATAAATTATAATATATATATATATATATATATATATATATATATATATATATCAATAGTTCAACTATGAAAACACCCTTGTAGGTCTTGGAAAGAATGGGAATACGCCTTGAAAACAAGTTGCGCAATTAAGGGATGACATAACAATTGGACAGCACTTGGTCTTAAATCTGGATCAAAACACAACAAACCCTGAATAATATTCCATAAAGGTGTGCTGTATGTACCGGGATCAATAGGAGTTATTTTTGCTTCCATTATTTTCATTACAAGACCAGCCAGTGTCTGAAATTTAAAAAATGATGATAAAAAGTGAAGAATGATCTAAGCTGAATTGTACATCATACTTTTGTTTATATGTTCTATACATTTGTATTTATAGTTATTTTATCACTTCAAAACTATAGTATTGAGAATTTCATATAAATCAATTATGCTAAACATAAACGAAAAGATTGTAGCAAATCGATACTGGCGATACGACTAGCAAGTCGAAATAGACGAAAAAAGAAGAAAACTATTTATCAATTCAAATAAGTTTAGCAATTAGTATAGAATACTTTTTTCGTTTTTAATGGCATTCAGAAGACAGATACTAAGAGCTAACGTGCTGACACTTCTGTGATTATTTTAAGGAAACACGATCCCTGGAACCCAAATACCAGGATCCCGATATGAGAATACCAGTATTCTGATATTACAGGTATTATGTTAAAAATTTATATTATGCATTATGTATTACACATACCGAGCCAAGTATGGCACGATCGACAAGCGACGGTGTCGGTAATATGAAGCAATTGTTTTAATTGTTTATATTTCACGTCTGATACCCAATGAATAGGTCTCGTTTACAAAAATGTTTATGTGTCCACGCGAATCAGACATATCTAATTTGTTATCAATGGTTTATAAAACGTAATATACAAACAAAACAATATGATTTCTTATATTGTATATTCTACCTAGAAACCGTTCATATTCATATTCATATTCATAAGAGTAAGACAGCAACACTAACAAAATATATAAAGAGTGTAGCACAGAAATGAATAATTTGTAATTAAATAAATTAGATTGTCAACCCCCGTAGGGTAAGATATAGTAATCGCAAGAAAATCGAAGAAAATGGTTATATATCTTTACGTTTCAAAGCCATCTGAACATTTTGGCATACCTTCCTTAGGCAAAATTGATGTACGTGTGTGTATGTATGTGCGGATGCAATCTTTTGTCGACGATTTCGAAAATAAAGTTCAATTGATTTGAATGATTAAAAAAAAACATTCGATTTCAATCGATGGGTAGACGTGCTGATTAGTTTTTGGTAGGCTTGCACCGAATATTCAATTACTATTCGGTATTGAGCATATTCGGCACATTTTATAATATTCGGCCGAATACCGAATAGTAACTTACTATTCGGCCAAATACCGAATAGTTAAAATCGAAGGCGCCGTCGCCGCTCAGCGGCTGCGTTGTTGGTGTTGGCGATGGATCTGTATTTAGAAGCGTTTAGTTTACATAATATGATGCGAAGAATTGATCGTTGTAAATATAATAATTTAAATTTTATCGATATTTGAGATTAAAAATGAAGAACTTTTTTCTGAATATTCACAAAAAACTTTATTGTTACATGCTTTTACCATTTAAAAAAAATCATTCAATGGTTACACGCATGTGTAGTATCAATACAATAAAGTCATTCATTATACTTGATCTAAGCATTTCCATAGAAAGAGCTATTAAACAATATTTTTGATTATTTTTTACTTATTTTATTATGATTAGCATTCCTAACATATAAGAAATAATATTGAGTTTATAAAAGAAAACATTAAATGTTTATGAAAGAAAATATTAGAATCGCTTTTTACATAATTTTACCATATATTTCCCTATCACATGTGGTATTCAAGTATATTGGTATTGGCCGAATTGTATAAATGGTGCCAAATATTCCAAATAACAAAGAGTAACCGAATAGTAGTTGCAAGCCTAAACATAAAACTTGAATAAACAATGTAGCGCGTTAGTAATGTAACAATTACTGATAGTAATTACATTAATACAAACGGGCTTAGACAACAAAAACCTGCCGAATAGTTGCTTATTATTCGGTATTCGGTCTCTGGAGCATGCCGAATATTCGGCAAAATGCCGAATATACTGTTCGTTGCAAGCCTGCAAGTTCAGCTTTTTGAAAGAATGAGTGTCTAATTTGAATGATTCAAAAAACATCTTACTTCTATGAACAAAATAGAAAATTGACTTTTGAATGTTTGAAGTTCAATTATATAGTTCAAACGTGTGCCCTCGACATTTTTGACAGTATGGAACAATCGATTTAAATTATTAACTTCCCGTAGGGCAAGTTATAGTAATCGCAAAAAAATCGAAAATGAAAATTTTTATATATCTTTACGTTTCAGAGGTTTCTGAACATTTTGGCATACCTTAGAAAAAATGGATGTATGTGTGTGTGTGTGTGTGTGTGTGTGTGTATGTGTGTGTGTATGTATGTATGTGTGTGTATGTATGTGCGGATACAAATTTTCGTCGACGATTTCGGGAACACGGATCAACCGATTTGAATAATTCAAAAAACATTCGATCCGTATTGATAAGGAGACGTGCTGATTAGTTTTTGGCAAAGGCAGGTCAAGCCGTTCCGAAGATACGGGGCAAAAAGTTCCGAAAACGGTAACTCAGTTTTTAAGAGAACGGAGCGTCCGATTTTAATAATTCAAAAAACATTTTATTTGTATTGACAAGATGAAGAATCGATACAACTTTCATGAAGGTAGGTCCAGCGTTTCGGAGATATAGAGGAAAAAGTAAAAAAATGAGCCATTTGGCGGTCAAAAATGATCATTAGACATATGCACATCAAATTATCAGACATTTTATAGAGATTTTAACAATAAGTATACATTTTGTTAACATTCCTATCGGTTCCGTACCAATGCTTATGCGTTAGACAGCGACGCGGCGCTTACGCGCTTTATATTTTGTCCCTAGGTAGTTAAAGCAGTACGATTGCTTTGAAAAAAAAGTTCAGATCTTCCACAACATGTCAAAATAAAAAAAAAAAAATTTTTTTCAAAAAAAAAAAAAATTTAAAAAAAAATTTTTTTTTAATTTTTTTTTTTTTTTCAAAAAAACTAATTTTTTGTCCAATTTATAGTTTCTCAAAAATCTTATTTTTAAAACTAATTTTTTTTCAAAAATGTTAATCGTTTTAAAAAAAATAATAATTTTTGGTACGGGAAGTTCCAGCAATTTGCCTTAAGGCACGATGCCCTAATTGCCTTAAGACAGAATTCCACTTACAGCTAGTTTAAAAAAACATTCGGTTCTTACTGACCGCAAAACGTTTCGGAGGTAAGGAGCGCAAAAAATGGTAATGCAGTTTTTGAGAAAACGGATCATCTGATTTGAAAAACATTTTGCTTGTGTTGACGGTGTGAAGAAATGCTTTTACAAATATTTTTAAATTTTGAAAAGCATAAAGAGATTGTGATGGATCTGTATGTTTGAAAGGCTTTAGTTTACATGATATGAAGAAATGATTTCTTTATTCTTTATATTACATTAATTTGAACTTTATCGACTTATCGAGATTATAAATGAACACGCAAAGAACTCTTTTCTGTATATTCATACGGTTCCTTATTATTATGTGTTTATGTAATTTAATAGAAGGAATCATTCGACGGTTACACGCATGGGTTGTATGTATTTATATATATATATATATATATATATATATATATATATATATACAATTGCCTTTATTATATTCAATCCATGCATTTTTGAATAAAAAATAGCTATCAAAAGCTCTTTATAGCAGAAAATAAGAACGAACCAATAAGAGTAATATATCACGTCATGATCAAACAAGTGCGTATTATAAAACTTTAAATAAAGTTTTGCTGGACAAAAAAAATAAATAAAAAAGATCAAACAAAGGGTGCAAACTTTCAAGAAATTTCTATAACTGCAATATTGCAGCAAAATATTTATCGGCGCTCGGAAGTATTATTTATTCAAAACTCCTTTTTATAAGAAACTGGAATGATCTACGAAAAAGAGAAGTAAATTACTTCCCAAAAATTGCAGAAAAACTTTTTTCTTCACTATGATCTTCGTAATATGTAATTATAAATGAATATAAATACATATATGTAAAGAATAACTTTATTCTTCATTTTTCGATTTATTTTGCTGCCACATGTTAATTTAGTATTCGGAATTCGGCCAGATAGTATAAATGGTGCTGATTATGCCAAATAAAGAGTAACCGACTAGTCACCCCATCAATGAATAATACTAAAAATATAATAAACAGCTTTTTGCTTTGTTCTTGATTAATAATTTCATGATTTACATTAAAAATGTAAATTATGAAATTATAGTTTAGGAGCCCGTGATTTACTGTATTTTGCAATGAAAATGTAACATAAGTGCATGTATTCAACTAAGTTGATATTTTCCATCAGGGCACTTTTTATTTTACAATAGTTAAATTAATTAATTGAATTAATATGTACACAAATTACCGTTGCATCGAAAGCCTTTCTCAACGTGCACATTTCATATAAAATGCAGCCAATTGCCCACATATCACTTTTGTAGCCATAGGGCTTATTCTGACACAATTCTGGTGACTGATAATATGGTGTTCCAATCACACTAAAGGCTTTACTTTGACTAAAAGAAACAAACTGATTATAGATATTCTACAAATGACGATACATCTTCAGAATTAACACAAATAAAAAAAAAAATTATTTCGAGCAGCTTGAGTGTGGCTCACACACACTATATATATATATATATGACTGTAATTAAATATTCAACTAAAAGCCTTTATCTTTCTTCAAAAAAAAGTATAATTAATTGTTCCATTATTTTATTCGAAGTTTCGACGATAGGGATGGCTCTTCTTCGGGAACTGAAGTAATTCATTTTTTACCTTTGTAACTAAACATTTTTCAAATCAACCACTCAACTGTAATCAAAATACACCAAAAACTAAGTTTAAAAATACATCGAGAAAATATATATTCACCCCAGTGAGTAGTTTCTAATACAAGAGTTTTCAACACATTTTCTTTACTAATTCTAAAAATAAAATGAAGAATCGGTCAAGAAAATGAATTGAATTGTTGAGCGCATGATTTGAAAAATGTTTAGTTATAAAAGTAAAAAGTGAATTCATTTAATTTTAAAATAATTACCCATATCCCCAAAGCACTGAATAATATAATTGAAAAGTGAATAAATATCTTTTTGAAGAAAAAAGAAGACTTTTAGCTCAAAAATTGAAAAATTATAAAATCGCAATAATCACTTCAATAATATTTTTGATATGCCAAAATCTCCAATCTTCACCACTAGACCCGCTGATAAAAATATATTTTCACATTTCAAGTCCCGATGTAAAATTCCCTTACTATGAATGTATTGGACACCCATTGCAATTTGGCTTAGAATATGCAGTACCTCCTGTAAGACATTTTATTTTTATTATTAACATAATATAAATTTTTGAAATACATTTATTATATCAAACTTAAAAAATTTCATTGGACTATCCAGATTCGAATTTCGGTTACTAATTTTACTTACCTTTTGTTTGAAATATATTTTTTGTACTTGAATATCTTTTTGGATTAGAATTTTTTTTTCTCTTTATATCTTTGCACCTATTTCGTCATAAAACATCAACAAATATTTTGGTAGTATTTAGAATGTCTAAATTAGAAAATGCAATACCGATATACCGAAAAACTGGTATACCGCCTAATTTTTTGGCGGTATTAGTAGCGGTATTTACCTTAAAATTACTTTAAAATTACCTTAAAATTACCGGCACTAGTTGGTACATATTACACTCGAGATTAAATTTCTCGGAACAAATTGATCTTTAATTTTCGTAATCGCTTGAACAGATATATCTTTAGGTGGTTCTATTATATAAACAAATGACAAAGTATTATCTCAACTCGTCATTAAACTGATTATTGCTTTCCAAAGGACTTCATATCGTGTTACAATAAATAGAATCTGATTGATAGATATTGATGTTCCTGTTATATTAAAATGAAACGGTTTTATAAAGTAACATTTGCGCCAAAATGTTTTATTTCATAAATAGTCACAATCAACAAAATAAAGATTTACTATCAGTAATTGTTTTATTACTAACGCTACATGTTTATACAAGTTTTATGCCTAGGCTTGCACCACTATTCGGCTACTCCTAGTTATTTGGAATATTTGGCACCATTTATAATATTCGGCCGAATACCGAATACTCGAATACAATATGTGATAGGAAAATAAATAGCAAAATCAAGAAAAAAACGATTCTTTACATATATGTAAATGTATTTCCAATTATTTCTTTCATAAATTCAATATTATTTCTCATATATTAGGAATGCTAATCATAATAAAATAAATAAAAAATGATTAAAAATATTGTTTGTATATTTTGCGATAAAGTGCCAATAATAGCTCTTTTATTTGGAAATGCTTAGATGAATGGCCTTATTGTATTGATACAACATATGCGTGTAACCATTAAATGATTCATATTAAATAATATAAATATGTAACAATAAAGCATCTTGTGAATATTCAGAAAAAAGTTTTTTGCGTGTCCATCGATGTCACAAGATGTCATCGATAAAGTTTAAATTATTATATATACAATAACAAAATCATTTATTCATATCAAATTACATAAACTAAACACTTCCAAATACAGATCCACCACGAGCTCTTTATCGCATATAAAATAAAATACCAACAATGCTGTCGCTGAGCGGCGGAGGCGCCTTTGATTTTAACTATTCGGTATTCGGCCGAATAGTAAAAAAGGTGTCGAATATGCCGAATACCGAATAGTAAACGAATATTGGGTGCAAGCTTAGTTATAAACTATCTTGATAAGGTATCGGATCTTTAATTATGGAAACACGTCCATACCCTTTGCAAGGTACCTAATTTCCTATCAAAAACTTTTGTATTTTCAGCTTTTAACATCAAATCTTTTTTATTTTTGCAAAAATACTCTTTATGCAAACCATTTATAAACTATGTACAGTTTGTGCGCAAAAAGAAATATTTGTACAATGGGAAAATGGGAGAGGTGGACAACTTTATATAAATTTTTTTTTTTAAGTAAAATTTGTTCTTTATTATAAGGTGAGGAAAATATGAATTAAAATTTAGTAAGAAAAACACTAACTGACGTAAAGCGTGATGAAGAATTATTCGATTACTAAAATGGCTATTGTGAAATATTTTAATTCCGCCTTATAATTATTAAAATTAAAAGAAAATTGATTCCAAGATTTAAAACAAAAATAGTTTTTTGAAGTAAAAAAAGTTTCATGTATTTACTTTGAAAATATAGAACATTAAAATAAATAAAATTGGACCCTTGGAAAAAAATGTTAGGGATAGACAACTTTTGATAAAAACAAATAGTATTTTGAAGTAAAAAGAAATTAACCCCATTATTTAAAAAAAAGTTTTACGGTTGAACCAATAAAAATAAATTGATTTTTAAAGTAAACACTGTTTTTATTTAAAAAACTGAACTAAAATTATGTAAAAATATTCAATAACTGAACGCGGGATAAAAATATATTTGTTTTTGTTTTATTGTACTTAGCAAACTATACACAAAGTACATTCAGCTATTTTACAGATATATTTATTTGACAGCGTGAGAAGGATCGCTATTCTGCGATAGCACCTTCTTAGATATTATGTGTTTTGTTGTAGTAAATCATTGCAGATTCTGTTTTGTGACGCTTTGGCGGTAAAGACTTGAGCAGGTCACACGGGATAAAAAATGACCGAATTAACAAAATGGCTATAAAAATAGGGATTGGTGATAAAAAGTTAAAAATTCAGAGTTGTATGTATATTTAATTCCACATTTAAAAAAATAACAAAAAATCGTCTAAACAAAGCATCGAAGGGTGAACAACTCTTATCAATTAGGGGTATGAAAAATTGATAGTAGCCGATTTTCAGACCTTCTGAATATGAATATAAAATTTGGTAAAAATCGGTAAAACCGATTCGGAGAAGTACGGGAACGAACATTGTGACGCGGAAATTTTATGCATTTACTCGTATATATATATAAAATAAAATATAAGTGAATTATCTATATAGCCCTAATAAAATTTCTGCAAGAAGTTATATGAATTATCTAAATTCAAATAACTATTTTATAGTACAAGATATTTTTGCGGGGTTTGTTCGTAGGTAAGCGGTTAAGAGCGACGAGACTTGATTCAGAGGTCCCGGGTTTGATACCCACTTCGAGCAGCCTGATGTCAGGCAGCAATAAAAATATTCACCCTATTACAGAAATTATAATAATATATCATACAGAGATGTGACAACTGTTTGGGTTGCCATTTGTCATACAGACTAGTCAAAATCAGCAGAACAGCTTATGTGGCTATTATAGGTTGTGATTGCTGTTAAAAAAATAACAAAAAAAGACATTTTTGCATTAATATTTTGCTTTGGTCATTGTAGAGGTTGTAGCAAATATAAACAAATAATTGGTAATATTTTACCAACATCACAATAGCCATACAATAGCGTTTACGAAAGGAGAATTATTTTGAATATAATACCATTTCTATTGTTTGAGATTTGTTTTAAACACTCATAATTTTACAATGAGAAATATGAACTATATTTATCTAAAACAAAAGAAAGGAACAATTCGTTCACCAACTCCGGTCCTTTTACCATTATCAAACTATATGACAATTCTTAACTTAGTACAAAGCTACGAAAAAAAAAACAAAATAAAAATTCAATTTTTTGAATTTTCCTTTTTTGAGCAAATAAATCAGATTCCCAAACAATTTTTAAACTTTTGAAAACGTGACCTGTGGACACCCAAAAAATTGGCAACTTCTCTGAAAAGGGGTAAAAAAATCAAGTTTTTGAAAAAAAAAATATTTAAGTAAGCCAGCAAAAAAATTGGGTATTTTCAAAATTGAAATTTTTTTAAATTGGCAAAATTGGAAATTTTCCAATGCGTGAAAATCTATAATGGGTAAAACTTTTACAAAAAATAATAGCACCACTCGACATAAAAAAAAATCACTGATAACGATAGTAAATAGTTATAGTATGTTACGATAGTAAATAGTTATAGTAAGTTATAGTAATCGCAAAAACATCAAAAATGAAAATTTTTATATATCTTTACGTTTGAAAGATTTCTGAATATTTTGGCATACCTTAGAAAAAATTGATGTATGTGCGTGTGTGTGTATGTGTGTGTGTGCGGATACAAATTTTCGTCGACGATTTCGGGAACACCGATCAACCCATTTGAGTAATTCAAAAAACATTAGATTCGCATTGATTAGAAAACGTGCTGAATAGTTTTTGGCGAAGGCAGGTCTAGCCGTTCTGAAGTTATGGGGCAAAAAGTGCCAAAAATGGTAACTCAGTTTTTAAGAGAACGCAGTGTCCGATTTTAAAAATTCAAAAAACATCAAGACTTTCAAAAAAATTTAAAGTTTCAAATAATTTTCGGAATTTTTCATAAAAAAAATAAATTTTGAAAAATTAAAAACAAAAATGATTTCTTACAAAAATTTGAGAATATTTCGATAATTTCAAAAAAAAACATCGAATATTTTCAAAAATTTTCAAATTAAATTTCAAAATATATGTGACCCACACTAGGAAATTGACATAGCTGGCGGGTGTTGCTTAAGAACTAAGGTAATTAGGGGCTGACACTATAGTTTTATACTTCAAAAATTTAATTAAACTTATACTACATTAAGCAGAAACCAACAAACTTTATTTTTTACTTATATTACACATTTCGTGACGTTTAAAAGCTGCATATTATGAAGAATATGAATTTTTCAACTTTTCAAACGGCAATATCTCAAAAACGGTGATTCTAACTAAAAAAATTAATAATAACAATTTCATAGAGAATTTTATATTAAATAAACCTATCTAACATAATTTTTTAAAAAGTTTATGGTTTCGGCGGAAAATGGCAATAATTAGATTTTTGCATCTTTGACCTTGAATAAAAAAAATCGCAGATGTCGGATCGATTGGGACTTTTGACATTTCATTTGTAATGGCCTATTTAACATCTGTACCAAATTTCAGCTCTATGCGAATTATTCCTAACTAAAAACTTAATTTGACTGGGGTAACATAGACGACGAGTAAAAGCATTTTTAGGCAAAATGTATTGTTTTGATTAACTTTTAATCTTGACGATGTATATACAAATTCTCGATCAAATTTTTATCAGCACTGTCTATAAGTTCGGCTTTGCGCGGACGAAAAACTTGTCAAATAAAATGTTGTAAAAGTAATGAAACAAATATATTTGCATTAAGTGTACATTGAAAAAAGATTGAAAGACGTTCTGCATAAATATTTGATTTTATTTGTTTTTTTCTTATAATTTCTTTTCGAAATTATATAAAAATAAATTTAGTTGAAACTTCATGAAAATTTCTTTACTTTATAAACTTCAAATCAATCATCTGAACTAAATAATAAAACAGATAACTTTTTAATTGTAAGTCAACTTGACCGCAAGCGGTAGGTATAGGTATACAGATGTACATAAATTGTCGGTAGGGTAAGTGTTAAATGAAATAATTATTGATATCCATCAGATAATCTCTATGCAAACAATGCGGCGATATGTAATATGATAAAAAAATAAACAATATTACAATGGTTGTTATCGACTATATTTTTGTCCTGATGCTTAGTGGTTGTATATGCAAGTGAATCATACCTAAAGAATTAAATACATTTAAATATTAGTATGTATATCATATTACCATTTCAGGCAGTTTTATTGTTTTCGACGTTAAATAACTGCTCAGTGTCCCTTTAGAAGCATATTCCATTACAATAAAAACAGAATGATCATTATAAAATGTCTCATGATATCCAATTATATTGGGATGTGATAATTTTGCTAAAATCACTATTTCGTTTTTAACACTCTAAAAATATTTTTTAAATCATTTATTAATACATATATATATATATATATATATATATATATATATATATTTAAATTATACAAACAGACAAGAATATTTTATACCTCAAAGCTCACGTGATCTGAAAAATTCACACAAATTTCCTTCACAACTACCGTTTCAGAATCTTTCAATCGTTTGCATTTGTACACAGTCCTAAAAAGTACAAAAACCAAATTATTCTATATAAATTACGATAGTTATAAAATATAAATCTACCAAAAACTTTCGCATCAAAGATTTTGTAATGATGGAATTTTTGTAGTTAATTGATATTTGTTAAATACATACACAAATTCAATTCTACATTGAACAATATAGGTATAATAAATTATGTTTTGCACTGCAAAAACACACAATATACCATTATAGATTATAATGATATTCATTAGATTAGATTTAGGTATGGCATTTCAAAAATAATACTATAATTTGAATATTGGTGTGGCCCATCCTCAGTGTATACAAACTTTTATTCAAACAATTAACGTGTACAATCTATAACTATACTGTTACAAGTTTCTTTATTTACTTTATTTTATTATTAAAAATTGTTTGTTTCATGACTAGGTTTTTATATTAATTAGGGCTTCTCAAAATATATGTTTTTTTGAAATTTGTATGCAATGAAGATGGGCCAAACTATAAGACTCGAAACGTATATTTTAATTATAATAAATATATATTATTGTATAATGAAATTGACAAATGATATGTAATTATAAAATATGAAATTTGTTTTCATAATCTCTCGTACCAGACGCCCCTACCTGACTGAAAAAATATACAATCTTCAAGCAACTAGGTGCGGCGTACGATATTATTGCACATATTAATAAATTTGTTTGGTATGAATTTGTGAACATTGAAGAACATTTATAATAATCTCTAAATTTATTTTCTGCAGTATGTTTAAGTTAACCCTTTCGGTGCGCCTGGTACACATATGTACCACCAAGTTCGAAAATTTCTAGACAGTTGAATTTATGAATTGACGTTATGTAAGTGTTTAGCTGTGATATAAAACACATATGGCCCATAAAACAGCATTTCGTTTAGAACCAGTCACGTTTTATTTTTTGTCCGCCCAGACCTTGGTCTAACCGTTGTACTTTTTGTTGTTACACATTTGGACCAACCGTCCTATAAAAACAATAATTTTTTTTTTACTGGAACTTATGTGTACCACTAATCTAATTCAGTAATGAATTCAAAATGTGTGAAATAAAGTTACATTTTACCTACTTTACCGCGCTTCTTGTCCGCTGTAATTACTAACAATTACCGAAAAACGCAAGCAGTTATTATATTTTATTGAAAATAGTATAATTTTTGCAACACTTGCAAATACCTTTAATATTCCTCGAACATTTCGTTACGGTACGGGAAGTTCCAGCAATTTGCCTTAAGGCACGATGCCATATACACCTCACTAGTTGATTATTGTTTTAACAAATATCACACATAAAAACATCACACAAACAAATCTATTTTTTGAAGACCGTCCCTTTCGGGATAAAATATTGATATTGATACTGATAAAATTTATATTAAAGCGATTTCCAAAAGGCATATCGCGTTGATACTATTGTCGTATGTATATGTTTCTGTTTTTTTTTATTAAAATTTGCTTTACGAATAGCTCGGTCGTTTCACCGTATTTAGAAAACAAAAAATCACATAATAAAAAAGAGTAAAAACTACTTCGAAAATAACTAATAGTAAATTTCGAAAAAACAATGCTATCTTATCACTACATAGATTTATTCTTAAGAATAAGCAACTTTTTTTAACTCGCGGGCCGCATTTAATTTTTAAAATTTAATCGCGGGCCGCACAATTATTTACAAAGCTTGATATATACTAATGAACATAATATAAACATTAAATCAAAAATGTAAATATTTATAAATCAATGCAACAAGCAAATAATACATTATAATTAATTTATTGGTAAAAGAAAATTGATGACATAAATAAAATTTTAGTTTAAAAATTCTCGGAGGCCGCTGCAAAATGTTTTAGTTTTAATGCATACTGAGTCATTATGTATACAAATAGCCTCTTGCATAAAATCGCAAAAAAATATGTCGTAAAATACATTACGAAACTCATCAATAATTTTCAATATAATAGTAAAAGAAAACATGTAAATACGACAATATCGAATGTACATAAATAAATAAATCCCCACTGTAAAGTTTATAAATTGTTAAGTAGTATATTATTAGTAGTATATATTATTATCTCTTTGTTAACTAGTTATTTTTACATACATATATGCACCTTAGAAACTAAAATTAATATATAATTGTAAAAAAAAAAATTAAAATAGTTTAATAACGCAACTATTTTTATTATTACCCGTAAGTTCCTCTACCAATTTGCTGCACTAATCGATAATTAGAAAATTTATGTACATTCAAGGCCATAACTGCGTTTAAGAATAAGAACGAAACTAAAAATTTATTAAAATGTCACTTAAAATGGTGTAAAAGTCATTTACTCAGTGTTGACTGATCGCAATTCGAATTTGATCTCAACGACTTGCTTGCTTTTAATCGTTTGTTTCGTATGTTGGCAACACATTGGCAGTGAAGTGTAATGCGCTTCACTCGTGTAAACAGATCGTTGCGATGGCTGATGACACGTCGGTGTAAGCTACGTTCACAATCAATGCCATTACTTATTATGTACTTGTTTAGTCATCGATTTTTTATTTGTTGAAGATTGTATTCTGTATGTATATATGTATATATAATTCATAATGCACTTCGTATTTATAAAATATTTTTCAAAAAAGGTTGTTTTATATAAAAAATATGATTGTATAAAGTTAAATTTAACAATGTATTATTTATTGTATTGCATATAATCTACAAAATTATCAACCCCAATATTTACTTTTCCGAAAGAGAAATTTTTGTAATTGCCAGAAAATTGGACTTGCTAATTTTATATTTTTTCGACTTTTCAACTCTTTCTGAATAATTTGACGCTAAAATTGGTAATGTAATTAGCAGATAAGTGCTAAATATGTTGTATTTTTGTAAAACTTAATTTTTATGGATTAAGTCAATTATCAACACATATCCAAAAATTTAGATAACTTTTCTCAAGCCAGAATGCCACTTACACCTAGTTACTTTTAAACCTTTTGTTTTCTGTGTCATGTACTACAACTTTGGATGTATTAACATTGGATCTTTTAATTATTTTTTTTAGATTTTTTTTTATCTCATTAGATTTACATCATTAAACTATGAAATTATATTTCTTCTCGTTTATTGATTTTTCCATCATATGATGAATGTTATCAATAAGCTTTACGCTATTTTGGCTCATTTGTTTCCCAAGAAGCACCTGACCCATATGTAATATTGAGTATGTAATCTTATTTTGAATATTAAGGAATAATAAATACAAAAATATTTTTGTTCTAATTGAATTTTAATGTTTTTAAAATACTAGAATTTTAAAAATATTAGAAGAAATAAAACAACTTTCTTTTATAATAAAATAAATTGAAGATTACGCTGAAAAAAATAGCAGTAGATGCTCATTGAATAATTATAAAAAGGTTTAAAAATATATGTGTCGATGAGTAATTTCAGCAGTCATGTGCAAATAATTATATTTTTAATATAATTTTAAGTATTTGAACTAGCAAATGTACAGCATCGAATTCAACAATTCATCGAATTGTGATGCAAAAGAATAATATTAGAATTTTAAATTTATATTTAAATAGAATAAGTAAAAATTTGTTTTGGGAGCTAAAGCAAATATTTGACTAACTGAAAATATAGCTACAGGTATCAAAATTATCGATAAAAACTTTCGATAAAACATTTTACTTTAACTTCCAATACATATATTACAAAACTGCTTATTGTAATCGCACCTTTAACATTTTTGCTCATGAAATATTTCACAATATTGCGCAATAAGAATTCATACATCGGGAAGAAAGTAACGTTTTGCAAATAGAGCGATTGTTTTATTAACCGATTTTATTACTATATAAAGTATTTTATATTTATGTGTATATTTCTGTGCTGCATATTTTATTCTGAATATATATTTTTGCGCTGAAATAAACAGGTAAGTTATATATTTATATTAAATACGTTCTCGTAGATGATATGTCATCGGATGACTCAGCTGTTTAGAAGTTGTTTTTATTGCAAAAAAACAGTCTTAAGTATGTTATATTATATATTACAATAGTATATTAATTTTATGTTATTGTTTTCCAATAATTAATAATTATCTTTTTATATTAATTTATATTTTCTATAAATTTCATCGCATTTTGTTATCTACATGATTGTGACTCACAGTCACAGCTCACAGAATTCAATGTAGAATTATATCTGCATTTTATTATATTATATAATGTCTTCATTAAAAACAAATTGGACAATTGAAATATGCATGTTGGAATACAATGTAAATTTTATTTTTTTAGACATTCTTGCGGTCGATAAGGTATATCGATTACAATTTTCTTTGCGAGCAACATAAATCACAAAAGTAGACCAGTTAGCACCATTTTTAACAAGAGTACACAGGAATTTGTTGTAAGTGTTGATGATAATTTTAAATTATTTGTAATTTTAATATAATTTTTTAATTCTATGATAAGGTAAATAGAATTATATATAACTTATTTGATTTATTACTCAGTATTAACCTTACATACATTTTGTTCCTGTATGTAATGGATGTTTGGTTTATCTAATTGTGAAACAATGATGCATATGATGTATTTTATTTTTGTTTGTTTTTCGATGAAAGTAGCTCTTTGATAAATCAAATTTTAATATACTCATATTTGAATTATGATTCTGTTTTTGAATTATATGAAATATATGAAAATGTTTCAACATTAGACTTTTAAATTTACAGTCGAAAACAAAAATGGCACTCGTCTTCTACCCAACAAGCTCAAAGTGGCTCAGATATGAAGAAGTCACCTCTCGAGAGCAAACGAATGAAGACAAATTTAAAGAACAATTTATGTTTAGTATTGACAAACGAAGATATGCTGAACGTGCAGGCCACAAATGTGGCAAAAAATTCAATAATGGATATACAAGAAAAGTATCAATGCGAACCAATTCAGGTTGCATCCAGGGTAAATAGATATTAAATTAATAAAAGATAAAAATTATATTCATAATATACAGTTAATAATAATTTAAATGTATTATGTTTTTGACAGGATGCGAAGTAAGAAATCAATTGACAAAAGATCAATCAAGTTATTTAGTTCTGACAGATACAGAAATGTTCCTCAGAAAGATTTATCAGAGGAACCAATCGATCTGAACCCATGGTGCAAGGAGTGGACAACTTCTTGCTTAGATGAAGAATTACTTTCCTCAAATTTAGGTATAAATTTTTTTCTATTGCTGATATTATACAAAATGAAGTATAATTATGTTATATATAAACTCATAATGTTGAAATTATTTACAGATGTGCAACACATGTTTTGCATAGATCATTTCACAAATTTGCAGACATTACAAGATCCTAGATCTTCAACAGAACTGTCCACGAGTCAACCAACCACAGCTATTTTCGAACATAAAAGTATTCCCAAGGACGATATAATATATGATTTTGATCAGCACATATACAGCATATCACATGATAATGAAAATAACAATGTTTTATCACCAACATTCATAAACAATGATATAGAAGAAATGGACTTGTCTCGGCAAGTAAATGATTCAAAAACATGGGAATCCGAGATGCAAAAATGTCGAAATCATTCCTAATGATAAATTAGATAGTGCAAGTTTTTATCTGAATAAATTTGAAACAGAACAAAATAACGAGGAATCTCCAAATCCAACTTTAATTTTATCTCCAGCTGAAAGTGATATATTCTTTGACACTTACACTGTTGTTGATCCAATGGACAATTTTCACTCATTAATAACAGATCCGACACTACTATCGAAAATTTAGAATCTCCAGACCTTAATAATCCCTCAGATGAAGTGTTTGTGGAGCAGTCTATTGATCTCAGCTTTATATCTAATGACATACTTGAAAGTGATAAATTAGAAACCATTACAGCAAGTGATAATTGTCTTTGTCTAGATTTTCCTTAATTGATTCAAGTAACCTTTGTTGAATATAAAATTGGTACCGGAGAGTTCAGATTGTTTAGTTAACACTCCTGATGTCATCGACAATGCCATGTCATTGGAAAGTGATTTCAACCTGCTTTCCTACATAGATTGTAAGTAATTCTTATTTCATTCTGCTAATTTTTTTGTCTTTATTTGTTTCATACATAATTATGAATATTATGCTATTGAAAATCACATAAAATTTAAATCTCTATATCTCTAACTATATAATTTTTTTTATTGCAGAACGATACTACAAGCATTAGCTCAGTTTCAAGTGATGCAACTAAACATGTACCAGTTAACAAATTTTTGTGCAATTAAGGCTAATAATAAAAAATCTAAACATCGACATAACTTATCTATTGAGTCGCACCTGTCAACAACTTTAAAAGCCAAGAAAAAGCAAGAGAAAAGAGGGCGCCCACCTAAACTTCCGGGGTCTTCTATAAAAGTGGAATTCTTTCCTGGAGAAACTGAAGATGATTTAAATACAGAGAATTAAGAAATAAAAATAACGAAGCATCTAGAAGATCACGAATGCTGAGAAAAGAACGTGAAACTCAGATTCTTACAACTTTGCATGATCTTGAGAAACACAATCAACAATTGATCAATAGTGTTTCACATCTCGAAGAAGAATGTAAAAAATATAGAAGCAAATTATTAGATGCTATGTCGAAATGAATATATTTACTGTATACTTGTTAATTATTAATAATCATGCCCTCAAATATATATCGGATGATTAGATTTTATATCATTTAAAATTATTGAATATTTACATAAATTTATTTAGATATTAATTAAAATGTATGTTAAAGGTATGGGGTATTAAATTATATATTTTTAAAATTATTTATATATGCTATGCATGAATCCTTGAAATAAAATTATTTATATACGTTTAAAATGTGTTTTTGTACAATTCTTATTATTGTAGGGGGTAATATGTGAAAATACTTTGGTCATTGTGTAAATGATAATGAAATATCTTGAAACAACTACGTTAG